TTTATTTATAGAATTCTTTTTAAACAACTATTAATCAATTTTTTATTAAATTAAAAATATTTTTTACAAGTTTTCATAATTGCTTAAATATAAAGTCAACTGGCGTTGGTCCATACGGTAGTTAAAATAGTAAGCACCGGTAGTTAAATGCATAATTGCTTGTCAATCCCACGCATACATGGCAATTGGCACACGGGCCACTTTGCTTTGATGTCCTAAAAGAATACTTGTTCATCATTTCCTAGATTTTGTATACATACATACGTACGTACATACATATATATATTTATAAAATAAAATGATAAATTTTAGAATTTAAAAAATAATAATTATAAACAAATATATATTTTAAGAATTTAGATATTTATAAAATTTTGTAACTTCCAATTTGACTACGTTTTCTTGCCCACGTGGTCCGAGTAGACCATGTCCGGCAATTAACTAAAACACATCTGCAAAACGCCACGTGGCCTGCGATCTGACCTCAAGCCTATGACTGGATAATCGGCTCGGCTCGGCTCGGGTCGGATCGGCTAAGCCGAATCCTGCCGGCGGGGTATCCCGGTTGGTGGTGTACGAATTACGATATTTCTCTCAGCAAATTATGGGACCGGGAAAATCAATCTGCTCTGGATCCTGTTCGGGGACGAAAGCGTTTGGTACATCCAGCTGTACCGTTACATCAAAAAAGTTGTGGGCCCTCAGTTGATGTGGGCCATAGATTCTATCTTCCCGAAAATCGGACGATGATGCGAGACTATCCATGCGTACCGGAGATATTTTTCCCGTAAATCGCTCACAAATCTTCTGATGCCGTAATATCATAAAAGGACAGAAATATTATTGATGGATTTTTATTAATTTAATTTTAATTTATATTATTTTGTCAACAAAATTTAGTGAATATCTCATACATATATATATATATATTTGATATATATCTGACTCATTTATTTTATTATATTAATATTTAATATAATAAAATATTAATATTTATTAATATATACTACTATAAAAATTATTTTTGTTATTATAAGTATAAATATATTTACGATAATAAAAAATTAAAAAAAATAATTGTACCTAACAAGTTAGATACGAACAAGTTGAAGGTGAAACCAATGTTTTAACGAAAAAATTGTAACTATATCGATTTCGAACATATTATATTAAGTAAATTTATATATGAAATATCATCTTAACAATTGTCATATTTATTAAAATTTGAACGAAATATTTTATTATTTTATTTTAAAATATAAAAATTGTAATATAAAAATACATAATATAATTAAAATTAGTCCATAATATATACATATATATATAACTCTAATACTAAATAAATTAATAATTAACCCATAATGTATTTTGCTAGGAATTGCAAAACCTAAACTGCAAAAACTAATGGACCAATCTGTTTGGGGATGAGACACGAGGGACATGATACATTTTTCTCTTCTGTAACCCAACACCCACATGAGGGTAATCGGCAACAGCCATTGATGAGTAATCAATTTCTGCAAATACTCACTGGTAGTAAATTAGGGTTTTGCAGACAAACAAATGGAGCAAAAGGAAAAAGATGATGATGGTCAAAAGTCAAACTGACTGAACTGGTCAGTTCAGTCAAAATTAAAAGGAAAAGTATGTCAATGGGTTCTTGCTTGCTTCTCAAGTATTGACCACATGAGTGTTTAGCTTCTTTCTCTTGGTTTATTATCCATGCAGAGAAAGTAGGAGCACTTGACTCTGCCAAATGCCTTTTACCAATGTGCACTTCAAATCTTCTACTACAAGGTACGTGTGTGTGTATATATATGTATATATATGTATATATGATGTTAATCCAATAAAAAAATTTAGAGGTGTTTTTTGGGTAATGCTAATATAAATTTATAGATGCTTTGATGGTTAATGTAAATTTAGATTTGACATTTTAAAATCTATCTGAAATTATTCATAGATTAATTTTTTATTACTATCAAATAATTTATATTTATATTATTAAATATAATTAAATATATATTATCGTATTTATTTAACTTTTTATTTTGATATATAAATACGTACATGGACGGTGCTCCCTCGGCACATTTCATCAATACATTTCTATATCTTTATTTAAAAAAAAAATATATATATAAATATAATAAAAATATATATTATTATGCATAGTTATTTTTATATTTATCTCAATATAATAAATGAATTAAGTTATATTTAAATTCGATAATGTGTAAACTTGATATAATATAAAAAATTAAAAAATAATTAAAACTGACATGGTTCAAAATGCATTTTAAGTATATTTTTTACAGTGATGGATTGAATTTATATTTGATAAAAGTAATTTCAAATCCACTTCATTTTTACATTTCAAATTTTGTGAAGTATTATTATAAACAATAGTAGAACAATCAAAATAAATAAAAAAAAATCTAAAATTTAATTATTATAAAAATTTAAATAAACTAAATCTAAATTTTAATGATTAAAGATATGATCGAAATGACGAGAATCACGTATTATCTGTTCCGTTATAATCTCGATATAAAATATTTAATGAGACTTAATTTGTAAATATTTTATAAAAAATATAATAATTTATTTTAAAAATTTAAATATATTATTTAATTCAACTTTTTTTAAACACGAATTTATAATGTCATATTAAAAATCTTCCGCATATCTCAATTCTCAAACAAGTTCCCTTTACATTTCCTTCAACGGTCAAGATTTGAGTTCTTAATCTCATCTACGGTCCACATTTTAAATCACTAACAGACAACAAAAAATTACAAACTTGAGCCGAGGCTCTTACAAGCCGAGCCGCCATTTCCCGCTCGTCCACTTAAAAGTTTTATCCCATAGAAAAGGCGGGCCCACAGATCTTTAAAATATTCACTGTGAGCTGCTGGCGGTTTCACCGAGGTTAAAACAAGGTGAAAAACCACCCCAATAAATATTCACCTTCCCTCACTCTGTCTCTGGCGCTCACTACTTTCAAGTTTCTCTTCTCTCTCGAGCCTCGCGTTTCTGGAGAGAGAATCGAATCGAATCTCTTGAGGAGAGAGTGAGAGATATCTCCATTCTCCGACCAGCGCATGCGATCCTTCACCTGAAGTTGCAGGAGACGGTTTCGTACTGCCGAAACTCAGACGTTTGCTCCGGTAGGGGAAGGTGGAATGACGGTGTTCTCAGGCAAGCAGGTGGTCCCGGTTGACTACGAGACCGAGGTCTCGCAGCGACTCCTAGAAGCTTCTCTTAATGGCGATCTGAATTCGGCATTCGAGTGTATCGCCGATCCGTTTGTTGATGTGAACTACGTAGGTGCGGTTTGCTTGAAGACGAGGAAGAGTGAGTTGGTGCTGTGCGAGGAATCCGCTAGCGAAGTACGCGTGGAACATGAGGAATTCAAAACGGACGTTACGGCGCTCTTTCTCGCTGTTCATGGTGGAAATGTGGCTCTCGTTAAGAGATTACTGGTATAGTGGAGTTCTGCTTTTTTCTTTAAGAATCATTTGAAATCGCTGTGATTGGATTGAGATTTGAAACTGTTTCATCTCATATATCGTTTGTCATTTTTTGTTTTGAGGAATTTGAAAATGTTTGAGAGTTTTCTCAAGCTTTGTTCAACTACATTTCAGCGATACTACGCATATGATTCTACGAAAATTTGGTGCTTAATGTTAGAAGAAATTTGAATTTTGATTTCTTAGTTAGGTGTTTGCTTAACGTGAACTTGGTTGATTCGCTGTTTCCTTTCGCATTTCCTTCCGAAGTCAGCAGTTGATTGACTACTTTCTCCGGAAGGTCCCACTTCTCACGTCCATGTCGGTTCTGTTCTCTCCCTAGATCAGTGCTACAGAAGTCTGAGATAGAGGATGCTTCTTGAGTACATTGTCACTTTTCAGTGAATTTGAAGTGTTGGTAGTAATTAGCAAATATTTAAATTTTCCTCTTATCAGTTTCCTGTTTATGTTCTAACTAAGGTTTTGAAGATGTATTTTTCGTTATAAATTATTGATTGGAATTTTCGGAGTTTCTTTTATAACTCCATTTATTGTCATCGTTTTTAATTCTTAGATACTAAATCTGTGTATTATTTTCTTTGTTCTGTTTGGTTGGGAAATAAAATTTTGCCAAAAGATGCATTTAGAATCTAGGATTTCATTTGTTTTGGTTCAAGGAGGCCATCCAATTCTGACTTTATAAATGTCAGGTCAGAGCGTTTGGTTTAGTTCGGCCAGATAACCAAACGGGTGGATACTTTTTCTTTAATAATTTCAGTTATATATTAGTTTTCACGTAAAATTTCACCATTTGTAATGCTTGGGCATTTTCCGGACAAAGTTGTGATGGCTTAACTATTGTTTTCCCTTGTAAACTTCTCATTTTCCTAGCGTCATCTTCACAATTGAAAATTATTTGTTCGTTTTGTTACCTTTAATGAGTCGATGTTACATGACTTTATTTCTTTTCGGGGTCTGGTAATGTTTCAATGGGCCTATATACAGTCATTAATTTATATCATTTACTTTCTGTTGCCAAATGCTGGATCTGATTTGTTTCTTTACCGACTTGAGACAATGCTTTAATGGCTTTTCATGTATGATATTTCGAATTGACATAGTTGTTATTCCCTTATGCCCCTTGAATAAGTGTTTTTTTGTGCGATCCTTTTCTTTGCAGTTCTTTTGTGCAATAGTTGGATACAAGCTCAACTCAATATTGTTGGAAATGGATACAGAAACATAAACAGGCCCAGTTGCCCCCATTTTTGGAAAATGATCACAGCTTAAGCGATTATTCTTTTACTGTTCAGACGTTTCTCTATACCAGTGATTTTTCTAGTGTGTCTTTAGTGCTTTCTGACAACTATATGTAGGTGGGAAAAATAATGCTAATTTACAAGTAACAGAATCTTTCCTTACGCATATATGGCATGATAGAGTTCACACTCTTTTTCACAATTGAAGGAGGTGAAAAACGTTATTAGATAATCTCAAATACTGCGTGCAAATATACAGTTGTCCTGTGGCCTTTTCCTCGTCTGTTTCTTGATTAATTTATTGATTTTCTTATGTATCCCAAATTATTAATTTGGGTGCCAGAATTGGTCATTATATTAAATAGTTATAATTTGTTGTGCGATGGGGATGGCAAGGAAAATTTAATACATAATTTCCATATCTTATGGGTAGATAATTTACTCTTTTGTTTTTTCTCCACATTGGGAAACGTGTACTTGAGTACACAGTAATAGTCGCAGACCAATCAATTCTTAACCAAAATGATTTGTCCAGTAGAAACATGGCTTTTGAGGCCCGTGTTGAGTTGTCACTGACAATTGGACACAGCCTGAAGTACATAGTAGTACACATACATGATGCATCTCCCTTGCCTTCTATCTGAGATTTTCATGCAGTTCTTGATGAAAGTTCCATGCTGCTTTGTCTATCACATCAGTTTTGTTCCCTCTTTTTGTCTGTGCATGGACAAGACCCTCTGTGTTCATCGACATTTAATGATAATTTTTTATTGGTTTTGTCGCCTTTTGTTGTTAGCCTGCACTGAGGGATGAGCAGGGAAATGGCAGTTCTACAAAGTGTTATAATCTGGAATGTTTTTAACTCTTTAACATTAAACTAAAGGCTGTTATTTTCAATCAACAGTGTGTAGGAGCTGATGTGAACCAGAAACTCTTCAGGGGTTTTGCAACGACAGTAGCTGTGAGGGAAGGTCATCTTGAGATACTGGAGATCCTATTAAAAGCTGGCGCTTCTCAGTTGGCTTGTGAGGAAGCTCTTCTGGAGGCAAGCTGTTATGGGCAAGCAAGGCTTGCTGAGCTGCTAATTGGATCTGATTTAGTTCGGCCTCGTGTCGCTGTCCATGCTCTTGTTTCAGGATGCTGCAGGGGATTTGTGGATCTGGTGGACACCTTAATTAAGGTAACCCATCATATTTACTCGCTATTATGGGCTTCAAAAGCAACTTTTACTGCTATGAAATTGGTTCTGATCGTGTAAGATGTGAGTAATACCCTTGTATGGGATTGGCCCTTTTTGCTAAAATGACTGGCACATGCCTGGAATATGATTCATCATTTACTTTACCCAGGAACAGAATGCTTTTAGGATTCCCACTCTATGCATAAACTGGGTGGTAAATAGTTTATGTTAATTTAACAGGTTTAATGACTGGTCTTCCTGCTTGGAAATTAGCCTCTTAAATAGATGTGTCACGGTTTTGCACATTCCCCAAATGTGTCATTGACGTATGGTCTTTGCTTGATCGCAGTGTGGAGTTGATGCAAATTCAACTAGTCGGCTGTTGCTTCGTTCTTCCAAGCCTTCTTTGCATACAAATGTTGACTGTACAGCACTTGTTGCAGCTGTCGTTAGCAGGCAGGTGTCCATTGTTCGTTTGCTGCTACAGGTGTCTCTCTCTCTTTCTCTCTCTAACTATTCAATATAGGGTGGACACAGAGGTTATTACTTTTAGGGCTAGTTTTATTGGTGATTGGTTTCCATATATTTCCGTGATTTAATGTTTTCATGTGACATTTTACCCTAGATGGAACTGTGTTATTACAATTAGATTGAAAATAGGGAATCCAATTGACCGAGTAAACTTTTAGGAATATACAAAAAATCTTTAGAAAAAATGAGGTCAATTTGCCGGTAATATATTTTAAATGTTCAGTGTTATGACACCCTTCTGTAGAATGGTCCCTTTTTGACACTCGGATAACAACCGTATAACAGCTGAATTAATATGCTAGACATTTCAATGATAAGGATTTCTATGTTGTCTGAGAATGTTTTTGTTTGATTAAAAAAGACATACTATAGCTTTAGATCTATTCTAGTTTAACTTACTACAGAATGATACTGGTGTTATATTGTCCGAAAACTTTATTCTCTATTCACTTTCAATCCTTTACATGTTAATATCGTTAATACCTTGATATCATACAGGCGGGTGTCAACACAGATGTCAAAGTGAGATTAGGAGCATGGTCATGGGATATGAGTACGGGAGAAGAGTTTCGTGTAGGAGCAGGACTGGCAGAGCCCTACTCCATCATGTGGTGTGCAGTGGAGTATTTTGAAGCCAGTGGTGCTATTCTGCGGATGCTCCTGCAGCACTTGCCCCCAGATTCCTGTCACTATGGAAGAACCCTCCTTCACCATGCCATCCTCTGTGGCAATGCAGGAGCTGTGAAGGTGCTCGTGGACTCTGGTGCCGACGTAGAATGTCCTATTAAAACAACAGGGAAAACCGAGTTTCGTCCAATACACATGGCTGCTCGTCGTGGCTTGTCAACAATCCTTCAATTGCTAATTGATTCTGGCTGTGATCTAAACTCCAAGACAGATTCTGGTGACACAGCCCTGATGATATGTTCTAAATATAAGCATGAAGAGTGTCTCGGGGTGTTGACATCGGCTGGTGCAGATTTTGGTATAATTAATGTTGTTGGTCAGTCTGCAAGCTCGATTGCTGGTGCGAACCAGTGGTCCCTTGGATTTCAACAAGCGGTCCTAGACGTAAGTAGGTGTGGGAAGATTCCCAAATCCAGCAATGCTTCTGTTTTTTCTCCCTTGTTGTTCGTGGCCCAAACTGGTGATCATGAGGCCTTGGAAGTCATAATCGGGCGGGGAGAAGTTGATCTTGATTATCAGGATGAGAATGGTTTCTCAGCTGTCATGTTTGCTGCTCTGAAGGGCCATGTTGAACCATTTCGCTTACTTGTTTATGCAGGAGCTGATGTAAAGCTTTTAAACAAATCCGGTGAAACTGCCATCATGTTGTCAAAATTGAACCAGAATCGGGATCTTTTTGAGAAAGTGATGCTTGAATTTGCACTTGAAAAGGGAAACCGGAATGCTGGAGGGTTCTATGCTTTACATTGTGCAGCTCGTCGCGGAGACCTTAATGCCGTAAAGCTATTGACAAGGAGGGGTTATGATGTAAATATATCTGATGGGGATGGCTATACTCCTCTCATGTTAGCAGCCATGGAGGACCATGGTTCCATGTGCCAGCTCTTGATCTCGTATGGTGCCAGCTGTGACATAAAGAACTCGAGAGGAGAAACAGCACTATCACTTGCCAAAAAGAATGGCAGCGTGAAAAATGAGGCAGAAGGGGTCATTCTTGACGAGCTTGCTCGCAAGTTTGTTCTTGGTGGTGCTCATGTAAAGAAACACACAAAAGGAGGAAAAGGTAAACCACATGGAAAAGAGATGAGAATGATAGGAGGTGCAGGTGTGCTGCAGTGGGGGAAATCAAGCAGGAGAAATGTGGTATGCCGGGAGGCAAAGGTTGGACCAAGCCCGAGCTTTAGGAAAAACAGGCAGTGCAAGGGTGACGCAGACGAAGCTGGGGTATTCCATGTAGTGACTACCAAGAACAGGGAGTTTCATTTTGTATGCGAAGGTGGACTTGCTGCAGCAGAGCTGTGGGTGCGAGGAATAAAGCTGGTGACAATAGAGGCAATTTGTGGGAATCAGAGGATGGGAGAAAATAGAAAATTTTATTAACTAGGGAAGTTTGTATAGACATGTTTTAGGAGGAAAAAAATGCTTCATCTCGAAGTTGTTTTAACTGTCGGTTTTCATTGTAAAGGTTTTGATCTCTCTGTGTAAATGTTGTTTTGATAGCTCTTTTTTGGGCTTAACCATAGAGTTGGCAGTTCATGAAAATCATTTGCATCTCTCTCGCTCTTAGACTAACACCCTTCCTCACGATACTCACGCATTTTTTTTTTTTTTTTCTTTTACTTGGATAGATGCTAAATCCTTTAATGATGGTTTCAATTCCACTTCAACAAAAAGGAAGAATTGTTAGATCGGAGATTGAGTTGGTTCGAATTCTAATTTTGATGTTATGCAATAGTTTAGTTCAAAAAGAAAAATTTCCCAATCGGTTTTGCGCTGTTCCTATGAAAATCAAAGCAAAAAAAAAAACAAGCTGCTTGAAGGCTATTAATGTGTGCATCGTGCTATCAAATGCTCAGTTGGAGTCTTGCTGTCTGTCTGCCCATAAAGGGCTACAAAAGAAACTGATTGGGTATAATAATTGCTCGAAAAATAACAACCAGCCAGGCTTACTGGCTCCAGTGGATTGGTTTGTCTTCTAGTTTTGCTAACTTATTTCAGCTACAATCTAAAACTGACAATACCAAAGATACAACAATTGAATCATCTTCGTGTTTGTCATACCAAATTATTACCAAGCAAACCATGTGACATAATCCTTTTTCGGTCAGAACTACATCATATAGCCTTCAAATTTCTTTTGGCTATAAAACAAATCACGTAATAATAATTTGCTAAATAAATCTGAAAGTAAAAGGTGTAAAATTTTCAGAAGATTCAATCTGTTTTGCACTTTGCACATCTAAAGGGATAGCTCAGCCTACAGTTATCTCTTTCTCCTTTGCTTTGCACATATCTTCCGCATTCTTGATGAACTTTTTCATCAACTCGTCAATCTGGGAAAAACAATTCCACATTGGAAGACACTTAAAACAACACCAAGATTTAAGAATGTTTTTGCTACTAGTATATCTATAAACTTACCGCAAATAAATCTTACTTTCTGTGGTTTAGTTGTATTCTCGGTCAAACTCTGTTTTTGGAACAATTCAGTATTGTAGTTTGAACGTTTTTTTTCCATCTTATATTAGACCATAGTCTTCTAGATTACTTCTTGTAAATTTTATTTTTCTTTTAATTTTAATTTATTCAGCATTAAACTTTCTTGAGTTTGTCTTTAGAAGCAATGCATAACTATCATTAGAATAACAAATGATTTTATCTAAAATAGATAGTAAGACAAATTTCCTGAAAACCAACAGAACTTAACCTGCAGTAAGGCAAAATTTTAGGCAGCGATATCGTACTTTACTGTAAACTTAACAAACTTACTTCTTTCTCCAATCTTTTTGCGTCATCCTTGGGAAAATTTGAACCTGCCTTCTTTATCGTATCTAATGCCTGTACAAGACCAAATGCACGCATTAGGTCACACGCATTAACTACTGCAAAGTTTTATTGTCCACAGCAGCCCAAAACTTCTAAGAAGCACTTTTACATAGGGTGCCAAAGACAAGATAACTGCTTTCAGTTTTTAGCATACTAGAGTAATTTCGTAATATTGTAAATGTATCCCATTAGTTATTAGATAATATTATCAAATTATTACAACATCATAAGGTATTTCCGAGATACTATAAAATTGCTCGTTGCATTGAGATTGGATTGTAGTCATGAAAAAAGAAAGAGGATCTTGGATGGGAACGAAGGTTGTTGACAGTAGCAGGAAGTCCCATTATACTGGGTGATTCACATGTCTCAAGACTTTGATGAACTATATGGACTACACTCATTTCCCATCTGAAGACAAATAACAACCCTGTAATGCTACATCAATTTAGATTCAAGAATTTGTTAATTATACCTTCTGCCTGGCCCGTCGTATACTTTGTTTGACATCTTCGCTAGATTTGGCAACCAACTTGCACACAGCCTGTACGGATTCCTCAGCCAATAGGTTATTATGCATCTGAGTGGAACATATTATGGATCCGGAATAGATAAAAAAGAGAAGAAGAATCATGAGCTCACCTGCATATGCTCCTTCGTTAATCTGGTCATGGAAAAAGCAGAGAAAGAATATATCAGTCAAGTAATATAAAAAGTTCCACTATCTAATGCAAGAGGTGAGCTCCCACCAAATCTTTTAGTTGACCAAGTGCTTACGGTGGAATAGTTGCAATCAACCTTTGCCCATCCACTACAGGATTTAAGCCTAATGGAGAGGACCTGATGGCGGTCTCTAGCTGTTTAACAGACTGCAAAAATAAAAAAAAATTAGTCAAGCGTGTGATTTCTCAGATCAGAGCTATTCTATAGAAGAAAAATTTTCAAGAAACAAACTTATTATCGTTAGTAAATCTTTTTTCTGATTGAGAAATAGATGTACAAGAAGTTAAATATTCAAAAGTCGTTCGTTTAAATGGAGAAGTTTCATGTTGAAAGCAAGATCTCCAAACTCAAGATACATGATATCGTACTCCAGCTCTTGTGAAAATCATAAAAGAAAAGAAAATGAAGCAGTAGGAGAAACAAAAATCGAAAACTTGCTAATTAAAAAATCAATAGTTTAGTTTATTACATCTGGATCATAAGGATTTACTGAAAGGGTTTTAGAATCTAGGACTGAAACGACAGCTACATGATTCAAGGGCATTTTTATACCACCAGTTTCTACAATAATATGATCAAGCATTCCTGCAAAAATATTTCGTAAATGAGCATGTCAATGATATAAACCATCAGATAAGACTAATTAGAAATAAGTAGCAACATTCCTTAATAAAGTACCTGGAGATGCCCTCCCTGTTCGTAATTTGGTTAGTTCTCGTGACAAAGCATCTATTGCTGCCTCCATTTGTGAGGAAGCATTTGTTTTGACAGTAGGCCCAATGTCTGGGGCAACCACGATACTCTCAGCAGAATCATCCTCTAATATATAAAATCAACACGGTAAGTTCCACAAATGCGCACAAGTTTTGCCCCCAAAAAAAAAGAGTACTCAAAGATACTAAAAAAGCCGTCTAAAAAAAAAAGAAAGATCTGCATAAACATATCTCAATGGTTGTATTTAGATTCTTGCTCTATCCCAGTTAGGAAAACAGATTATTGCGGCAACTTACTTAACTTGCTAACGATCACAATTTAAATAATACAGCAAAAACTGTTAAATTGATTCCCTTTAGAGTTTAAACTGATATTAAAAGATCCAATCTATTTATTTATATATTAGCACAATTTCTACGCGTGCGAAATGGTTGCGCTGAAAACTTTATCATGGATAGATTCAACCAAATTTAAACTGAAATTTAACTAACAAATGAGAGCAGCAACCAATATCTGGACTCTTAGAACTCTTTACTTCCCATCAGCTCATAGTAATTAAAGGACAACCCTTTTCAGTTCAACATAATCCACAAATCTGAAAAAGCCATTTAGGATTTGCACTTCCTCTGAAAAAGAGAAGAAAAAAAGACATACAAAAACTACCCACCAATCTATAACGCATAAATCATCAATCACAATCCATATATACAGACAAGGCCAAAATCACAAAGGAGCAGACTTTCATAATGTATCAGAGAACTATAACTAACCCACAAAAGACCCTTAACTTATAGTATATAAATCCATAAACAAAGAAGAAAAATAAATAGAGAGAAAGAGAGAGAGAGTGAGAGAGAGAGAGAGAGCGAGAGAGGGAGAAAAGGAGGAAACTAGTACTTGACTTTTTCCCTTTTGCAAATCCTCGAACAGAAATTCTGCAGAAACCAGTGGGGACAACGAAGTGGGTATCGCACTCTCTTCCTCTGCGATCGGAAGAGAAGAGGAGGAGGTGAGAAAGACTGCGAGATTGAATACTTGTTGAGCTTCTCAGTAGGGGAATTGTACTTCTCTGTGAAATTACCCGTCTTAGGTACATCGCCATTGTCCACTTTCTTAGTCTTGTCAACTCTCTCTTCAATATCTCTCCACTTTCATTTCCGTTCTGGTTCTTTACTGTAATTTGCTAGGGTTTCTGGAAAGCTCCATGCTAAAACCCTCCAACTGCATCACGTATATTTCCTTTTGCATTTTCTCCTCACCAAAACGGCGTGTCACCCTCGTCGTTTTCACAAGTCAGCAAAACGACGTTGTATAGGTAATTGTGGGCCAAAACGGCGTGTTACCCTCGTCGTTTTCACAAGTCTCAAAAACGACGTAGTATAAGTGATTGTGGACAAATTACGGACGTGCCTGTTTTGTGTCATCTCCTTTCTCCTTCCCGCTAGCACTGTCTAAACTGAACCACATAAAAAGGAGATATCGTACTGAATCGTTTATTTGCTTTTTTTTTCTTTGCTCAAAGCTTCAAAGAGAAAAAGAATGAGATCTTTCTGCGCATTCCGCGCCTCTGAACTCTCCTTCATTGCAAGACGACCTGTCCTTGTTACGAGGTACTTACTCTTCTAATTCCTGTCGTCTTCTTTTTTGCAACGTGTATGTATCCAGAAAAAGAGGCATAAGCTTTCTTCTGCATTTGATAGTCTGAATTTAATGATGTTGATTTATTGGAAAGTTTTATAATGAGGTTTCGAGATTGGTGATTAGATGATATTTTGTTCGTTTAGGGATTTGCAGTGTCATAAGTTTGAAGGATGAAAGACTATTTGAGACTTTTTGCAGTTAAGTTATCGAAGTGTATGATACTGGCTTTCTTGTATAAATTGTGTGGTGAACTGTATTGACGGAAGTCTAATGAACTATATATGTGTACATAAGTATATTTATATATGTGTTTATATATATAGATATTGATGGAAATGTGGTGAATTAAATCTGTTGGTCTTGAGTTACAAGGAAAGGTTTGTACTGTAGTGAACTCTATATATACATGTTGATGGAAGTGTGATCAACTATACATGACACTGGGATTAGTGAATAGGTTGCTTGAATACAATTGAATAGAATGATTCAATTGGTGCATAGGACCTGCCTTATACATTGGTTCAGTGAGCCTGGTAGATTACAAAGAGCGGACTACTGCAACTATCTTAGGCAGTTTGGAGTAGTCTTGAGATTTCTATAAAAACAAATCTGGAGGAAAAGCATCTCCTTATGTTGCTTTTTACGCTTGGGAAGCAGCTTGGGGAAGAATCTTCACCTTTGAAAATCTTAGGAAGCATGGGAGGAGAATCACTGTTATGGAACCACCCATCATGCCTTTGGGAGGATGAATCCCCTAATCAGCTTCTTCTGTAGTGTCCTGAGTCAAGAAGATTATTGGATTTTGTTCTTAGTCTAATGTTTCTGGGTGGACAGTAGTTCGGTGGCAGAAGAATTCTAGAACTTGGATGGCATTTCTGTTTATATCATTTGGATGATTTGGTAGGGGAGGAAGAATTGTATTTTCGAGGAAATGACTTCTACTTTTGTTTAGAGGTCTCTCCATCCTGTCTAGGGAGGGATCTTGTAGCCCTTGTTGATATTTTGTGATCTTCTTGAGAGTTTTGGTTCTTTCTTTATAGGGCTGCTGCCTTGGTGCCTTTTAATACATTTTTATTTTTTTAAAAAAAAAGGAAAAAAGAACTTCTCTGCTGCTTGGTTGTGTATATTGCTATGTCCTTTTGGTTTAATTACATTTTTTGGTTCCACCCAAAAAGAACTAAAAGTAGTCCTGCAGTTGGGTTGAGGTGGGCGAAAAGACTTAAAAAGTCTGTGTTACTCTGTTCTAAGTTAAATCATTCTAGAATTATAGTAGTTATCAACTTGTATTTCAGATGATTGACTAAAAGGAGCATGAAAACTATGGTAGGGTCCAATTGGCGTGCATCTAGTAGGAAATGAACCTATAAAATTTTCTCTGAGTTGGGCACTTTACAATTCTGAATGGATACTTAGTGGGGATCCTTCATGTGATTCATTCCCAAATTACCTTCTATCCTTATTGTGTTGTGTTCTAACTTTTCAAACTAGGTTACTAACTTCCTTTTGCTTTTCACAGGACGAAACTTTCTTATCACTGTAAACTCTTTTTCTGCCAAGCAAAGTCTGGTAAGCAGTAAGTTGGAATAATATTCTAATTTCTGCATGAAAGAGAATATTTGAAAAGTGCAAATATCTTCTTTTCTTTTTACAGTATAAAAAAATTATTTCTTTATTTTCAAATTCCATGGCAGTTGATTATGAAGGAGATGGAACATTTGGTTTAAGAGTAGTGCCTCCAACCTTGTTAGCAGCAGAAAAAGAAGAGGCAAAGGCTGTGTTGACCTTGTTTCTGAAAAAGCAAGGCTTGAGCAATGCAATTGCTGCAAGAACCATCAACAAATCAGAACTCTTCATTGATCACCTTGTCTCAAGGCTTCATTCAGTTCATAAATCTCGATATCTCGTAGGTTCGGTTGCAACATATTCTTTTGCATTTTAGTGGCATCCAAAATTAGCAGATCTAAATCTAAACCTGGCTCATATTGAACTCTATATTTAATGTTCTAGGAAGGGAGCTCACAACTCTTGAGATTCGGGATGCTCTTATTCCTTACCTCGAGTCTCTCCTTGAAGAACATGGAAACATTCTGGTAGATGTAGTTGAGAACTTCCCAGACCCACCTACTAAAGAGAAAACAGAGTCACAGGTCTCTCCACCCCATTCGACTCTTGACTCTAAGAAGCTAAAAGCTGTATCCCGTGTGAGTGAAACTGGTCCAGAAGGGGAGCTGCGCCCTCAAGTTCTCTATTTACTTGATCTTGGCATGGATCTTGAGCAGATCAAGGTAATTACACGCAAATTCCCCTCCTTTCCTTACTACAGCTTGGATGGTAAAATTAAGCCAGTGGTTGAGTTTCTCCTTAATCTCGGAGTACCCAAGTCAGATATTCCCATCATTCTAAGTAAAAGGCCTCAATTATGTGGAATAAGTCTTTCTGAGAATCTTATTCCCACCATGATGTTTTTAGAAACTCTGGGAGTGGACAAGAAGCAGTGGGCAAAAGTTATATTTCGTTTTCCAGCACTTCTCACCTATAGCAGGCAGAAGCTAAAGGCAACTGTAGATTTTCTCTATGAAATGGGGCTCTCAAAAGAGAGCATTGGCAAGATTCTAACACGCTGCCCAAACATCATAAGTTACAGTGTTGAGGACAAGCTATGGCCGACGGCTGAGTACTTCCGGTCCTTAGGGGTCAATGTTGCTTTGCTTCTTCACCGCTGTCCACAGACTTTTGGTCTCAGCATTGAGGCCAATTTGAAGCCTGTAACAGAATTTTTCTTGGACAAGGGTTACAGCATAGATGATGTTGGGACAATGATTTCAAGATATGGAGCTTTATATACTTTTAGCCTTGCTGGCAACTTGACACCAAAATGGGAGTTCTTTCTTACAATGGACTATCCACGATCAGAGCTGGTTAAATTCCCTCAATTTTTTGGCTACAGCTTGGAGGGAAGGATTAAACCGAGATATGCACTAGTAAAGGAGTACGGGGTGAAACTTCTTTTGAATCAGATCCTATCATTGTCGGCTCAGGATTTTGATGAGGTTTTGAAGAAGAAGATGAAGAAAATGCTTTTGGATGAGAATACTACTAACAAACACAGTGCATGACCCTTCTCTTTATCGATTTGAACCAGATAAACTTCAGTGTAGAAACTATGATATTCTTCAGAAGATAGAAAATCTACAGCTCCTTAGTGGTGCAGTACCTCCATGTTAACTTCC